TCCTAGATTCACTGATTTTTTGAAGAGTTTTTCATGTCTATTTCCTTTGGTTCCTCTCTTATCTTATTTATTTCTTGTCTTCTGCTAGCTTTTGAATTTTTTTTTCTCTTGCTTCTCTAGTTCTTTTAATTGTGATCTTAGGGTGTCAATGTGAGATCTTTCTAGCTTTCTGATGTGGGCATTTAGTGCTATAGATTTCCTGCTTAACACTGCTTTAGCTGTGTCCCAGAGATTCTTGTGTATTGTCTCTTTGTTCTTATTGGTTTAAAGAACTTCTTGATTTCTGCCTAAATTTCATAATTCACCCCAGAGTCATCCAGAAGCAGGTTGTTTAACTTCCATGTAGTTGTGTGGTTTTGAGTGAGCTTTTTAATCTTGAGTTTGGATTGCACTGTTTTCTGAGATATTGTTTGTTATTATTTCAGGTTTTTTGCATTTTCTCAGGAGTGTTTTACTTCCAATTATGTGGTCAATTTTAGAGTAAGTGCCATGTGGCACTGAGAAGAATGTATATTCTGTTGTTTTGGGGTGGAGAGTTCTGTAGATATCCATCAGGTCCACTTGATACAGAGCTGAGTTCAAGTCCTGAATATCCTTTTTAATTTTCTGTCTTGTTGATCATCTAATATTGAGAGTGAGGTGTTAAAGTTTCTCACTATTATTGTATGGGAATCTAACTCTCTTCATAGGTCTTTAAGAAGTTATTTTATGAATCTGGGTGCGCTTGTATTGGGTGCATACATATTTAAAATAGTTAGCTCTTCTTGTTGAATTGATCTCTTTACCATTATGTAATGCCCTTCTTTGTCTTTTTAAAAATTTTTATTGGTAAAGTCTGTTTTGTTAGAAACTAAAATTGCAACTTCTGCTTCTTTCTTCTTTCCATTTGCTTGATGAATTTTCCTCCATCCTTTGAAGGTTAATGGTTTAATTTTTCAATTAAAAGATATAGACTGGTTGAATGGATTTTTCGGGCTAGGGGAGGGATAGCAGGGGATGGGGGTATTGGGAAGGGATAACATTAGAAGAAATACCTAACGTAGATGATGAGGCGATGGATGCAGAAAACCACCACATGGCATGTGTATATCTATGTAACAAACCTGCATGATCTGCACATGTACCCCAGAACTTAAAGTATAATTTTTTAAAAAAATGAAAAAATAAATAATAACCACTAAACCAAACCATATGCTCTCTATAAGAAAATCACTTCATCTGTTAAGGCACTCAGACTGAAAGTAAATGGATGGAATAAGGTATTCCACACAAGCAGAAACCAAAAGTATGCAGGAATGGGTATGTTTATATGAAAAAAATAGACATTAAGTCAAAAAGGCATAAGAAGACACAAAGGTAATTATATAATGATAAAGAAATCAACTTACCAAAAGGATATAACAATTGTAAGTATATGTGTAGCCAACACTGGAGCACCCAAATATATAAAGCAAATATTATTAGAGATTAAAAAGAAAGATAGGCCCAATACAATAATAGGGCTTCATCATACTTTTTAGCACTGGAAGATCGTCTAGATGGAAAATCAACACAGGAACATAGGACTTAAACTGTAGTATAGAACATATGAAGCTAACAGACATTTACAGAACGTTTCACCCAATAGCTGCATAATACACATTCTTCTCATCAACTCATGGAACATTCTTCAGGACTGACTATATTTCAGGCCACAAAATTAGTCTCAACTAATTTTTTAAAATATCAAAATCATATAAAATATTTTCTCAGACCACAATGGAATAACATAAGAGATCAACAACAAGAGGATCTTCTAGAACTATACAAATATATGGAAATTAAGTAACTTGCTTCTGAACAAATGTGTCAATTAAGAAATTAAAAAGTAAATTTAAAACTTCTCAAAACAAATGAAAATAGATACACAACATACCAAAACCTATGAGATATAGCAAAAGTAGTAGTAAGAAGGAAGTTTATGGCAATAAGTATTTCCATCAAAAAAGTAGGAATATTTTAAATAAACAACAATGCACCTCAAGGAACTAGATATGCAAGAATAAAACAAACCCCAAATTAGTAGAAGGAAATAAACAATAAAGGTCAGAATAGAACTAAACAAAATAGACTTAAAAAATTTTAAGATCGACAAAACAGAAGTTTTGTTTTTTGAAAAGATATACAAAATTGAAATTCCCCTGGCTAGACTAAGAAAAAAATGGAAAAACAACAAACAAACAAAATTGGAAACAAAAAAGGAGATATTAAAACTGATACCACAGAAACTCAAAAAATCATTGAAGACAATTATGAACAACTGTATGTCAAACAATTAGAAAATCGAGATAAAATAGATAAATTCCTGGATACTTATAACCCACCAAGATTGAACCAGGAAGAATAGAAAACATGAACAGACCAATAACAAGTAATAAGATCAAATCGGTAACATAATCCTCTCATAAGAGAGAAGTTCAGAATTAGATGGCTTTATTGCTGAATTCTACCAAACTCAGAAAAAAACTAACATCAATTCTTCTCAAACTATTCTAAAGAAAAAAAAAAGGAAGAAGAGAGGGGTATTCACCCTATCTCATCCTATGAGGCCAGCATTACCCTGACATCAAAACTAGACAAGGATGAAACAAAAAAGAAAACTACAGGGGAATATCCATGATGAACATAGATGCAAAAATCTGCAACAAAATCAATCCAATAATACATTAAAAAGATGATATACAATGATCAAATGAGAGTTATCCTAGGGATGCAAGGATGGTTCAACATACACAAATCAATATATGTAATGCATCAGATAAACAGAACGAAGGGCAAAAGCCATATCATCATCTCAATAGATGCATAAAGAGCATTTGAGAAATTCAATATCTCCTCATGATAAAAACTTCCAACAAATTAGGAATGAAAGGAATATATCATCACACAAAAGAAATAGAACTCAGCCAAATATGACAAACCAACAGCTAATACCATACTGAATAGGAAAAAGGCGAATGTTTTTCCTGTAAGAACGAGGGCAAGACAAAGATGCCCACTTTACCTCTTTTATTCAAAATAATGCTGGAAGTCCTAACCAGAACACTTAGGTGAGAGAAAGAAACAAGGGGTATCCAAATTAGAAAAGAGAAAGTTAAATTGTCCCTTTTTTGCAGATGACATAATCATATATGAAGAAAAAACTAAAGATTTTATCAAAAAAAGTGTTAGAACTGATAAAGTCAGTAAAGTTGCAGAATACGAAATCAACATACAAAAATCAATAATATTTCTATACACCAATAATGAACTAGCTGAAAGAGATATCAAGAAATCAATCCTATTTGCAGTAGCTACAAAAAAAGAAAATACTCTCTAAATAAATGTGACTAAGAAAGTGAAGTATCTCTATGATGAAAACTATAAAAAAAAAAACTGATAAAATAAATTGAAAGGGAAATTAAAAAGTGGAAAGACATCCATGTTCATGGATTGAAAAAAATTAATATAGTTATAATGACCATACTACCCAAAGCAATCTATAGATATAATGCAATGCCTATAAAAATACTACTTACATTCTTCACAGAAATAGAAAAACAATTCTAAGGTTCATAGGAACTGCAAAATACCCAGAAAATCAAAGCAATACTAAGCATGAAGAACAACACTAGAGACATCACACCACCTGACTTCAAAACATATTAAAAAGCTATAGTAACTAAAACAAAATGTTATTTTGTGTAAAGACAGACATACAGACCAATGAAACAGAACAGGAAACCCAGAAATAAATCCATGTTATTTACAGCCAACATGTTTTTGACAAAGGCACTAAGACCATATACCTTAAGGAAAGGACAATCTTTTCAATAAATGATGCTAGGAAAACTGGGTATCCATATACAAAAGAATGAAACTAGACCCCCATTTCTCACCAGATATGAAAATCAATTCAAGACTTAAATGTAATATTCAAAAATATAAAACTCTAGAGCAAAACATAGGGGAAACCCTTCAGGACAGTTGTCTAGGCAGTCTAGGCAAATATTTTATGAGTAAGACTTCAAAAGCGCAGTCAACCAAAAAAATAGATAAATTGGACTATATCAAATGAAAAGACTTATGCAAATAATCATAATAACAATCAAATAGAGTGAAAGGATAACTTAAAATGGGAGAAAATATTTGCAAACTATTTATCCAACAGGAGTCTAATATACAGAACATACAAGGAACTAAAAAAAATTCAATAACCAAAAAAAAAAATCTGATTAATAAATGGGCAAAGGATCTAAATAGACATTTTACAAAAGAAGATATGCAGATGCCCAATAAGTAAAAGAAAAATACTCAACATCACTAATTATCAGGTTAATGTAATTCAAAACCACAAGGAGGTAGTATCTCATCCCTTTGGAATGGCTCTTATCAAAAAGACAAAAAAATAATAAATGCTAGTAAGGATATGGAGAAAAGAGAATCCTTATACGCTGGACCTTTTCGATCTAGGACCTTGTTACAGAACTCTGCCAAAAAAAAAAAAAAAAACGTTTACAGAAGAATGTGCTGTGATTAGACTGGTGTGTAGATTTCAAACTCTCTGGACAATATAAATAACACTGTCTTTGTTTCTACAGTGGGAGCCAAGAAGAAAGGTTTGCTCCCGGGTGGAACAGGGATTATCCTCCTCCTCCCCTTAAGAGTCATGCTCAAGAGAGACACTCTGGCAACTTTCCTGGCAGAGATTCACTTCCTTTTGATTTCCAGGGGCATTCGGGGCCTCCTTTTTCAAATGTAGAGGAGCATTCTTTCAGCTATGGAGCTAGAGACCTACCGCATGGTGACTATCGAGGAGGGGAGGGACCTGGACATGATTTCAGGGGGGTAGATTTTTCATCTTCTGATTTTCAGAGCAGAGATTCATCACAGTTGGACTTCAGGGGTAGGGACATACATTCTGGGGATTTTTGGGATAGAGAAGGACCACCTATGGACTATGGGGTGGAGATGGTACTTCTATGGATTATAGAGGTAGGGAGGCACCTCATATGAACTACAGAAACAGGGATGCTCACGCTGTTGACTTCAGAGGTAGGGGTGCTCCTCCATCTGACTTCAGGGGACGGGGCACTTATGATTTAGATTTTAGAGGCCAGGATGGATCCCATGCAGATTTTAGGGGAAGGGATTTATCAGATTTGGATTTCAGGGCCAGAGAACAGTCCCGTTCTGATTTTAGGAATAGAGATGTATCTGATTTGGACTTCAGGGACAAAGATGGAACACAAGTAGACTTTAGAGGCCGAGGTTCAGGTACTGCTGATCTAGACTTTAGGGACAGGGATACACCACATTCAGATTTCAGAGGTAGACACCAGTCTAGGACTGATCAGGATTTTAGGGGCAGAGAGATGGGACCTTGTATGGAATTTAAAGATAGGGAGATGCCCCCTGTGGATCCAAATATTTTGGATTACATTCAGCCCTCTACACAAGATAGAGAACATTCTGGTATGAATGTGAACAGGAGAGAAGAATCCACACATGACCATACGATAGAAAGGTCTGCTTTTGGCATTCAGAAGGGAGAATTTGAGCATTCAGAAACAAGAGAAGCAGAAACACAAGGTGTAGCCTTTGAACATGAGTCTCCAGCTGACTTTCAGAACAGTCAAAGTCCAGTTCAAGACCAAGATAAGTCACAGCTTTCTGGAGGTGAACAGCAGAATTCAGATGCTGATCTGTTTAAAGAAGAAGGCGGTCTGGACTTTCTTGGGCGGCAAGACACCGATTACAGAAGCATGGAGTACCGTGATGTGGATCATAGGTTGCCAGGAAGCCAGATGTTTGGCTTTGGCCAGAGCAAGTCTTTTCCAGAGAGCAGAACTGCCCGAGATGCCCAACGGGACCTTCAGGATCAAGATTATAGGACCGGCCCGAGAGAGGAGAAACCCAGCAGGCTTATTCAATTAAGTGGGGTGCCTGAAAATGCCACAAAAGAAGAGATTCTTAATGCTTTTCGGACTCCTGATGGTATGCCTGTAAAGAACTTGCAGTTGAAGGAGTATAACACAGGTTACGACTATGGCTATGTCTGCATGGAGTTTTCACTCTTGGAATATGCCATCAGATGCATGGAGGCCAACCAGGGAACTCTAATGATCCAAGACAAAGAAGTTAACCTCGAGTATGTACCAAGCCTGGATTTTTGGTACTGCAAACGATGTAAGGCAAGCATTGGTGGGCACCGATCTTCCTGTTCATTCTGCAAGAACCCAAGGGAAGTGACAGAAGCCAAGCAAGAATTAATAACCTACCCTCAGCCCCAGAAAACATCTATACCAGCACCATTGGAAAAACAACCCAACCAGCCCCTAAAACCTGCTGATAAGGAACCTGAACCCAGGAAGAGGGAAGAAGGACAAGAGTCCCGCTTAGGACATCAAAAGAGAGAAGCAGAAAGGTATCTGCCTCCTCGAAGGGAAGGGGCAACTTTCCGAAGAGACCGAGAGAAAGAATCATGGTCTGGAGAGACACGCCAGGATGGAGAGAGCAAAACCATCATGCTAAAGCGTATCTATCGTTCCACACCACCTGAGGTGATAGTCGAAGTGCTGGAGCCCTATGTCCGCCTTACTACTGCCAACGTTCGTATCATCAAGAACAGAACAGGCCCTATGGGCCATACCTATGGCTTCATTGACCTTGACTCCCATGCGGAAGCTCTTCGTGTGGTGAAGATCTTGCAGAACCTTGATCCATCATTTAGTATTGATGGGAAGATGGTGGCTGTAAACCTGGCCACTGGAAAACGAAGAAATGATTCTGGGGACCATTCTGACCACATGCATTACTATCAGGGTAAAAAATATTTCCGAGATAGGAGGGGAGGTGGCAGAAATTCAGACTGGTCTTCAGATACAAATCGACAAGGACAACAGTCATCATCTGACTGCTACATATATGATTCTGCTACTGGCTACTATTATGACCCCTTGGCAGGAACTTACTATGACCCCAATACCCAGCAAGAAGTCTATGTGCCCCAGGATCTTGGATTACCTGAGGAAGAAGAGATCAAGGAAAAAAAACCCACCAGTCAAGGAAAGTCAAGTAGTAAGAAGGAAATGTCTAAAAGAGATGGCAAGGAGAAGAAAGACAGAGGAGTGACAAGGTTTCAGGAAAATGCCAGCGAAGGGAAGGCCCCTCCTGAAGATGTCTTTAAGAAGTCCTTGCCTCCTACTGTGAAGAAGGAAGAGAGTCCCCCTCCACCTAAAGTGGTAAACCCACTGATCGGCCTCTTGGGTGAATATGGAGGAGACAGTGACTATGAGGAGGAAGAGGAGGAGGAACAGACCCCACCCCCACAGCCTCGAACAGCACAGCCCCAGAAGCGAGAGGAGCTAACAAAGAAGGAGAATGAAGAAGACAAACTCACCGACTGGAATAAACTGGCTTGTTTGCTCTGCAGAAGGCAGTTTCCCAATAAAGAAGTTCTGATCAAACACCAGCAGCTGTCAGACCTGCACAAGCAAAACCTGGAAATCCACCGGAAGATAAAACAATCTGAGCAGGAGCTAGCCTATCTGGAAAGGAGAGAACGAGAGGGAAAGTTTAAAGAAAGAGGAAATGATCGCAGGGAAAAGCTCCTGTCTTTTGACTGTCCAGAAAGAAAACGGATTAAATACTCCAGGGAAACTGACAGTGATCGTAAACTTGTTGATAAAGAAGATATTGATACTAGCAGCAAAGGAAGCTGTGTCCAACAGGCCACTGGCTGGAGGAAAGGGGCAGGCCTGGGATATGGCAATCCTGGATTGGCTTCATCAGAGGAGGCTGAAAGCCGGATGAGGGGCCCCAATGTTGGAGCCCCAGGAAGAACAAGCAAAAGACAGTCCAACGAGACTTACCGAGATGCTGTTTGAAGAGTCATGTTTGCTCGGTATAAAGAACTTGATTAAGAATGGAGACAAGTTCTGTGATATACAACCTCCTTGTTTTGTTTGTCTCTCCTTTTCTTTTGTTACTGTTCTTGCTGCTAGAACTTTTTTAAATAAACCTTTTTTCAATGTGAAAAAAAAAAAGAGAAAGAAAGAAAGAAAAAGAAAGAAAGAAAGAAAGAAACACTATCCACAATAGCCAAAATGTGGAGATCAACCTAAATGTCCATCAATAGATGAATGGGTCAAGTTAATGTGATGTATACACATAATGAAATACTATTCAGTCATAAAAAGTAATAAATCCTGTTATTCATGGCAAAGTGGATGACCCTAGAGGACATTATGATAAATGAAGTAAGTCAGGCATGGAAAGATAAACACTACATGTTCTCAGTCATATGTGGAAGCTTTAAAAAGTTGAGCTAATAGAAATAGAGAGTAGACTGGTGGTTGTTACAGGCTGGAAAGGGAAGGGTGGAGGGGAGGATAGGAAGAGAGTTAATAGATACAAAATTACAACCAGATCAGAGAAATAAGTTCTAGTGTTCTATAGCACTGATGGGAAAATATGGCTAACTGTAATATAACTTGCTGTATATATTCAAAAAGCTAGAAGAGAGGATTTTGAAACTTTCTAAAACAAAGAAATGATAAATGTTTCTAAGGTGATGAGTATGCTAATGACCCTAATTTGATCATTACACTTTGTTTACATGTATTGAGATATCACTCTGTATGCCATAAATATGTACAATTATTACATGTCAACTAAAAATAAAAGGGAGAAAAATGATCTCCACTTGAGGAGAATCAAATAAATTATTAGGTTAAAAAATTATATTCTGAAAGAAAAAAATCTATATCCAGAATTCTGTATTTAGAATTCTATATCCAGTTTTAAAAAATCCTCAAAAATTTATCAAAAAAGATACATTTTCTGGTAAATGAAATCTAAAATAATCCATAGCCAGCAGATTCAAAAGTGAAAAAAAAAAAAAGGCTAAGAGAATTCTTCAGTCTAAAGAGAAATAATGCCAAACGGAAATTTTGATTTACAGAAAGATACAGAGAGCACCAAAAATAATTTTTAAAATAGGTAATATAAGATAATTTAAAAATATTGTTGAAAGAAAATTACCTTTTCTGACAAATACAATGACTAAATACTGTAGGGTTTATAACATGTTTATAAAACAACGATAGTGCCGGGAGAAAATTCTCCATGGGTATCTTGTGTTTCTGAAGCTGTTTGAGAAGAGACACTGACTTTCTTTGATCCAGAATATCTTTTTAAGATTATTTTTACAGTGAAGTTTTGGAAATAGTCTCTCCCTCAGGAGGCTTGCTATCCATTATAAAAGATTCAGATTTCCTACATTTGGGATTGCTCTTCTAGCATGCAACCTACAGCATGTGCAAGGTTCATCTGGTCTTTTTCATGTTGCCCTGAGTAGGAACTGGAGTCTTAAGTCTTCCACTAACATCCATGAAATTACAGCAAGCTAACTTGTTAGCTTGCAAGTAGTGTAAAATTTCAGACCCTCCACAGTTCTTGACCCACAGCAAGAGTCCTGCTGAAACACAAGCTATGGTTGCTGCTTAAGCCATCTGAATATTTATGTCAAAGGTTAGCAGGTAAGAGAGGAGTTACAGCAATGGCTAGTTACCCCGACATCAGGAAAGGTGAAGCTGCTGTTATACAGTGATAGCAGAGAAGAATGTTTTGCATGTAAGTGACATCTTGGGTGAATCAGTACTCTCTTGCCAATTTTGACAGTAGATGAACAATTTAACAGTCACGGCCTGGGAAGTGCATGATAACCAAGGATTTAGAACCCTCAGGTTTTAAGGTTTTATAACACTGAGCCACCAAGACCAGCAGACATGCTAGATGAGGGTGAGGAAATCTAGAATAGAGAACAGAGAAGGAAGAGTATGAATATAACTTTCAGTCCTAAGAATGCCTACATTCTTACATAAGATTGTAGTTTGTTCCATTATCTTTCTTCGTATTGGTTTCTAAAAGAGGTCTTCCAGAATCCTGGAAGATCTGCTCCTACAAATGAAGAAATAAATCCAAGCAGCTCAAGAGGTGGGCTGTGGTGAATTGTGTGATGTACCACTGAAATCCCCTTGTGGGATCAAAGAACTTATTTTCCCAGAAGCTGGGAATGCTGCCAGAAGAAATAACTTATTTCAGCTGAAGAGAGTCCATATCCAATAATTTATATGTAATATAAAGGCTGTGTACCCCTCATCTCTACTCTGAACAACATTTAGTAACCATCTTGGCTTCAGTTTCCCATATGGTCAACTGAGGCTTTGTTCAGACCAAATTGCAGCCCAGTTTCTCGCTCTGCTCAATCTTACTTTTGCTTCTTCCTTTCCACATGTGCTGATCCCGATCACCCTCCTTAATAAACTCCCTTCTATCAGAATCTCAAAGTCTGCTTCCTGGAAGGCTGAACCTGCACAGTAGATCAATAGGACAGATTCAGCAGCCCAGAAACTGGGCCTCACAAATATATGGATTCTTGATTTATAAGAAAGAGGGAATAGCAGAACAGATTTTCCAATAAGTCATGAAAGGTAAATTTGTTATCCATATGAAAAAAGTGAAACTGAACTCTATATCACACTCCCAAACAAAAAATCATTTCCAGGTGATTTGAAGATCTAAATGAAAAAGTTCAAATGTTAAATAAAGATTTTAGAAGAATCATCATGAATCTGGGATACATAAGGATTTCTTAAGCACCTCACAAAAAGCACTAAAGAGAAATATTTATTATTTAAAATTAGGAATGCATATACATTAAAAGATATCATATAAGAATACGAAGACAAGCCACAGAGAAGATATGAACCACGTATAACCAACAACAGTCCAGGAGCCAGATTATGTCAAGAATACCTACAAATAAATGAGGATGAGGAAGATAAGCTAATTTTTTAAATTGATCAACTTGACCAACAAAGACTTGAAAAAGTTATTAACCCCATTAGCTAAAAATCAAATACTAATTAAAACTCTGATGAAATATAATTAATTAGATTGACAAAAAGAATTTATGTAACTTTAACTTTTATTTTAGATCAGGAGGTTCACATGCAGTTTTTTTACATGGGTATACTGCTTGACACTGAGGTTTGGGGTACAAATGATCCTGTTACCCAAGTAGTGGGCATAGTACCCAATAGGTAGTTTTTAGCCCTTGTTCCACTCCCTGCTACCCCATCCCACAGACCCCAGTGTCTACTGTTCCTCTCTTTATGTCCATGTGTACCCAATATTTAGATCTCACTTATAAGTGAGAATATGCACTTTTTGATTTTCTATTCTTATGTTTAAATGATGGCCTCTATTCTCTTTAAATGATGGCCTCCAGCTGCATCCATATTGCTGCAAAGTACACGATTTCACTGTTTTTATGGCTGTGAAGTATTTCATGGTGTATATGTACCACATTTTCTTTATTCAATCCACCACTGATGGGCACCTAGGTTGATTCCATGTTTTTGCTATTGTGAATAGTGCTGCAATGAACATACATGTGCATGTGTCATTTTTATAGAATGACTTATATTCCTTTGAGTATATAACCAGTAATGCGATTGCTGAGTCAAACAATAGTTCTGCTTTAAGGTCTTTGAGAAATCTCCAACCTGCTTTCCGTAGAGGTTGAACTAATTTACATCCCCACCGATAGTGTGTAAGTGTTCCCTCTTCTCTACAGCCTCACCAATATCAGTTCTTTTTTGACTTTTTAGTAATAGCCATTCTGACTAGTGTGAGATAGTGTCTCATTGTGGTTTTGATTTGCATTTCTCTGATGATTAGTGATGTTGAGCATTCTCTCATATGTTTGTTGTATGTCTTGTTTTGAGAAGTGTCTGTTCATGTCCTTTGTAGATTGGCAAAATAGTTTTAAGCTGGTGATATTTAGCGTTGGTACAGATATATAGCATTGAGAAGGTGATATTAGCATTGGTGCAGATATATACCTCCCACTCTGATGATGGCAGTGTAAATTGGTACAACCACTCTAGAAAACAGAATGGTAGTATTGTATAAGTTTGAAAATAAATACACTTTATCAGCCAGCAATTTCTCTTCCAACAATATAACCCAGAGCAGGGTTCATCAAGATCAGCACTATTGACTTTATAGGTATGTTAATTCATTGTCATGGGTGGCTATCCCGTGTGTTGTAGGATGTTTAGCAGGACTCCAACTTCTATCTACTAGATGCCAGTAGCACTTGCCAATTGTTAAAATCAAAAAAGTCCCAAAACATTGACCAATGTCTCCTAGGAAGCAAAATCTCCTGAGTTGAGCACCAGTCTCCTAGTAGCATCATTTCTAATTGCCAAAATCACAAAGCAATCCAAATGCTAATCAAAAATAAAGTGATTATAGTGTAGAACAAGCAAACTCTAGTTACTATATAGCAATTAAATTTTTAAAATTAGATTCATTAACAATATAGGCCTTACAAACATTATATTGGGTGAAAAATAACCTGTGTTTTTACACAAAGAATATGCATTATGATTCCATATATATTATATATATATTTAAGAAAAGATACAAATCTATATGTTTTAGGGATCTTTACATGGGTGGGAAGTCATGGAAAGTAGGGAAATGACTACTATAAAGGTAAATCTTCCTACAGGGGCAGGCACAGTTTGGGAAAAACAGGACATTCAGATTGTCTTGGTGTCAAAACGTTCTACTCTTGATTTGGCTAGTAGTTAGATGAGTACTATCTTTATAACTATTTTTAAACTATATATATAAGTCTAATAATACCCTTTTCAGTATGTATGATATATTTTGAAATTTTACAAAAAATGTTTACATAGAAATCCTATCTTGACTCATTTCTCTAAATAGCATATCCATGCCTTTCCTCACCTTTACGGCCCTTTACTGAAAAGTTCTTTCAATAACGTTGAAATTCACTGTCTGACTTCCTTCCTTTCATTCTCTTCTGAACATACTTTGAATCTATAACTACTATTGCTCCATTGGAAATATTGCTATCAGATTGCTTCTCAGCAGTATTTAACACAAATGATCACTTCCTCCTTCCTAAAATATTCTCTCCACTTGGCTATCAAGACACCCGACTTTT